GGATGGTATTCCATGGTGTTGCAGCAAACTCTTGAGGTTTAGGGCATTACGCCTTTCCCTTCAGCTGGTTCTTGGGCCTCACGGTCCCCACCGTTTGGGCCTATGGAGACTTGATGGTCGCGCGCCTGCGGGCCAACGAGCTCTACTATGGCCTTGTGGGACTCGTGAATCTGCTGACGACCTGGGGAGTGGCCACGCCCTTCTGTACCTTGGAATCAAGCACGCCCTGGGCTTTCAGCAGTCGTGGTGCGAAAGTGGGGTGAGTCGCCCCTTTTGGGGGGGAGGAACCGTCCGGGATGGGTCGGTTTTGCAGGGCACCCACACACCTTGTGGAACCCACCGGAAACCGCTCTGGTGAGGGGCCCAGGGAGAGAACAATGCCTGGCCGACTTCAATTTCCTCATACTTCTAAGCAGGAGCGAGTATAGACAGTCATGCATATCCACTGCTTTCAGGGGACACTGGCAGTTTGCGGAGGTTTTCATGCCGGCTTTTCCTCGGGGGATGGAGACAGGACAAATCCTTTGTGAGGGCTAGAGTTCGTGTTGGCACACCCCGTTCTTAGATCTCGTGAGGTAGATGAGAAGCCGCCTGTGGTGATTTCAACACTTCTCATACACCAATGTGCTGCGATATTTCAAAAGCCACCTGTGGGAGTATATCGCAGCACACTGAACAACTTCCTGGAGGAAGGAAAAATAGACCAACATCCATTGCCTGGGTGTCTCCCAGATGCACACTCCGAGTATGGTATATTTACCTACATTGACCCCTGAACTGTGCCAACGCATCCCATACATGGGGTGTTTGGCATTGTCGATCTCAGTGTCGCACCGAAGGGATGACCTGGACACCAAATCAGCTCCAAGTGCGCTAAAGCACTGCTTCGCCCATGCAGAATATGCTGTTTGTGACGTGTATAACACCATGGCTGTTCACCATAGCAATGCCATTGCTCCATGAGTCCAACTGAGACTAGTTGTCACCACAAACGAAGATCCCGTTCATGTTTTTTCAGATATTGATGTCCACCATGAGCCACGAGCCACCACTTCTCTCACGTTTGCCGTTGCCAGGCTTCGTGCTCTCTCAGATGCTCGCCTACAAGCTGCGACAGAGGCGTCGAAGCTCGGTCTGCAACGAGGAGCCGTGTCGGCTCCACGGTTGGCGTGGTTGGCGTGGTTGGCGCGTTGATGCCTGGATGAAGAACTTGGTGAGAGGCATCACAGCAAGTCACTTGCAGTAAGGAGGAGTCATTTGGGGGACGACTAGATTCACTAGATCTTGTGATGTGTTTTCCTTTGCTGTCTTTGGGACGGGTGAGTGTGTGGCCTTTCCTTTCCCACTTCCGGAGCTATTTACACACTCAGAAGCAGGTGATCAGTGACTGTTTTACACCTGACATGGACCGATCCGTGTGAATTCGATCCGTGGATCTACGCTGCAAGCAATGAGAACCACTTGGTTCCTGCTGTACTGCGATAGTCAATACCCAACACCTCAACCATCAAGCCGGGACCCACGAGCGATCGGTGGCCGCGCCATGTGGGGACGAAAGGAAGGCGGCGCAAAGCCGCGTTTTTCCGTTTTGGCAGCGCCGGCTATAAAGAACACATGAGCGGCATAATGACTTCACATTTGTTTGTTGAAGTAGCACACACACACACACTGACACAAAACATTACTTGACAAGCACTGTTAAAGTCTCATATGGTTTTCTCAAGAACCCTTGAGCAAATCCTGTCCAACCCCGATGCGTTGCAGAAGCCAGTGATGTTTGACCCACGGGACCAAAGCCCTTCCTTTGGGTCCGCTGGTTGGCACCAATGCTACTTCTTTATACTTCTTCCACTTTCACCTCTGTTCTTGTTAAGTTCAGACTGCTATATGCCAGATGTGCAGCTAAATCGTCTGAGTGAACAGATCGGTGCACAGAACTGACCGGTCCGCACTCCGAAAGTCAGAGACTAAAACGAAGACATCTACTCCCTTTGTATGTGAAGTATATCTTAAGATCATTTTGCGTCGGAAGACAAATGAGGAGATCCATGACAAACCATATTGGTCTACTCCTCTTGTATGTGAAGTCCAGTTGTTGCATTTTTTCCACGGTTTCAGTGAAATGAGCTCTGTCGTCTAAATGAGGAAATCGATTCTTGGACTACACGGTGACCCTGCTTGGAGTGGTCCTCATTGGTGCCATGGGCCACTTGGAAGAGAGAGGTCGAACGGAGGTCCAACGGTTCGAGGGCGAATGGAGGACTGGCTTTGGTGCAGAGAAGGCCTTTTGCTGGTCTTCTTCCCCCCTGGGCCCCTATCGGATCTTGAGAGTATCATGGTCAACTCACGACGAAGCCCTGGACCTGTGAAACGAAGGCTTCGCTTTGTCATGCTTCATCTCCGCAAGACGGCGCGAGACGCGGCAAATGAGGCGTTGGAATCCAGATCTTCCGCAACCTCTTGGTGCCTCGTCTATGATCGGATGTACTGACTGTGAATACATTCCCCAACACTCCAGCGATCTCGAGCGCACATGTACATCATACATTCACCAATGGCCAGTCCAATGGCCATGGTTCACCAAAAGTCGTTGTTCTTTTCGCTTGCTCATTGCATCTGAAACGTAAACTAGTGAAACAATTCTTTGAGGATGGAACGTGGAAAACTACAAACTTCTTCAGAACCATTCTGTTGTTCCACAAACCAACCCTCCAGACTCGAAAAGAGTGTCACAACATGTCACCAAGAAACAAGGTCTGACAGCTATACGCTTGGCCGGACCGATCGACCGGTCGCACAGGTGACCTGGCTTGACGATGATTTGTTGGGCATTTCCGCTTGGGCCCTGGTCATGATCTTCGCCGTGGTCGTTGCCTGGCGCTGCTGGCCCAATCGCTACGACGACGACGTCGACGAGGGGGCCGGCCACACCTCGGCGAAGTCGAGGTGAGTGAAATGACAAGAATATCTCGAAGAGATATTTTTGGCGTTGGTCTCTGCTCGCCTGCGATCAGAACCACATGATATGGGAAGTAGAACTTGTGGTCATGGTCTCTTTTGGAAAACAAATATGTGTGGCCTTTACCACGAAAAGTCTTGTTTCGATAGTAAGTCATTATAGTCATGGCATAGCTTTGCATCAAAAGGTGGTATAGAATTCATTTCCGAGTCTTGAACACATGTATTGCCTTGGAGTCATGGGTTCTGCCTGGCGCTGCGCGATTCACTTTCTGTGGCTGGGTCATATTAGACGACGTTTAACCGTTAGACTTCCCACTTGGCCGAAGTGCGGCTGAGAGGAGCCAAGCAGTTTGCGAAAACAGCAGCGCCTTGCGTCGCCACGTCGGGGGGGGGGGGCGACGAAGATGCACTGGAGTGCGGTCCCGCATGCAGTGCGGCTGGTTGGGTAAGTACCCACCGCTCTGGTGAGGAGCTAGAGAATATAGAAGTGGTTTGCTTTTGGAAGCAATCGTTTTGTCGATTGGACATGCTGTTCCTGCATGTTCCTGCACGCAAACATAGGATTTGCGGGCTCTGTGGTCTTTTTGGAGGCTGTCGATTCGGTTGACGAGGTTTTTGCAGAGCAGCAAAGTGACGACCATCCCTTTCTGCAGCTTTGTTCTTTCTATTTTCTGGTGGGTTTGACGGATTCATCCATTTTTGACGCACAGATCAATGATCCATGTGGCCTTGAAACAAGATGGTTTCAAGTGGATCCACCCCCAGAGGTTCCACGGTACCGCGACACCTGCTTCAACTTCATCGGGGCGTTCGACGTGTCATTTCCGACACCGTCAACCCACGGTAGGTGTCGTTCGGTTCGCGTGACACGGTTCGCCGCGCGTGACACGGTTCACGCTCGGAGGTGGATGAAGGTGCAGTGAGAAGCAGCGAACGCAGCGACCCATCAGAGATCCAAACCAATAACAGAGCAGTGGCAGAGAATGTCCAACAGCCCTTGCAACAGTGCTTGGTAGGCCCGGTAGCTGGAAACTACCTATGTCCACCGCCCAACCTACCGGCCGTGATACGAAATGCATCGAAATGCTATTTCTCATTTGCAAAGTTGCCTGTGCCTACGGAATTACATTGAGGAAGATTCTCTCAATTTTTGCTAGCGTTGAACAGCGTCATAGAATTGCACCTCCCAGTAGAATTGACACTTCAAAAGTCAAGAAAAGTTGCGGGCAACGATCAATGCTTTTGAACCTTTCAGAGTTGTAGGCTTTCCTCAGGTGCTTGGGAGACAAGCAGAGTTGCCAAAGCTGCTCCTCTTCTTTCAGGCCCCGTGCTTTCAGCACTGTTTTCAAAGCTGCGTAGAACTCTTTTAGGGTCGTAGGTGCCACAGTCACATCAATGTTGTGAAATCTATATATTGTGAAGCCAACAATGAACTTTGGACATCGACGACCCAACCCGACGACCCATTTCAAAACCACGACGAATCGATGACAACATCATTACATCGATGACCATGTCGTGAAACTGAATATGATTTCCACCCAGATGCCAGTTGCCAGCGGTGGGCCAACTACCTGGCAGACTGCTTGCTACTGTAGCCTGTGGGCACCATTCTGTGCCAACAAAGGAACCTCTCTCAACTCACAACGTGTCACTTTGATTCTTGGCCAAACACGCTTGTGCCCACAAGACTTGCTCGGCCCAGCTCAACCGGTCCCCCCAACCCCAGCTCGGCCCTTCGGCCACCAGCGCCGGTGGCCGTCGGTCCCGTGGCGTTGCGGAGCAAAAGGGGCGCGGCCAGGCGAGTGACGGTTCAAGACATCAGATCTCTGGTAGCCAAAGTTCGGTGATTTTTTGTGTTTTCTTGTTTGGAGGGGGCCCATGGATCTCAGCGTAGAACAGAATTTGATCTCATTTGATCTCACAAAAGCCGAAGCCGGAAGAAGGTCTTTGGCTTTGTGTTTCGTTTCTCGATGTTTGAAGGGGTGGAAGGTGAACAGTCTTGCTTTCTGACGCACCCCCCCCCCAGTGACACCGAGGCGCTGACCAAGCGGGCGGAGGAGATGTATATCCGTTCCATGGCACCTTGGTAGCTCTTGGAGTCTGAACACGCCTGGGTCACCCACAGTGACTGGCCGTTGGAGGAACGAAGCGTGTTCCGCCAGGGTCAGGGGGGAATCCAGGAAGAGCTTTGATCCGGTCTGAAGGTCCAAGTGGGTCGCTTCCATCACAGAAAAAGAGACCTAGATCTCGGGAAGGAGGGTGAAAGAACACCATTTCCAGGAGGATGGTTTGTACTGGTAGTGGAACTATGTGGAACTACGGTTTTGCCAGGTGGAACATCATTCCCATTGCTTTTTGCGATGTGGGTCCTGAATCTGTTTCGGTTTTGCCCGATCTTTGGTCGAACTTGTTCAGACTGTTTGTGCTGCGGCTGGTGAAAGGGAGCGAACGAAGATGGACCAAGTGCAGGCAAAGGACAAAACGATTTGTTTATTAGGATATTAGGGTACAGGATTCAGTTAGGATATATATATATATATATTATATAAGGATATCTCAAGCTTCATGGAAGGTGTCTGAGAAGGAAAGCCTTACTGTAGATTCCTTAGTATAGTCCAAGACGGGTAGCAAGCAGAAATCTGCTTTAGCCAACAGATAAGCAGAGGATACTTGAGGAACCCAGAATGTCCCGAGAATGTCCCCAACCTTGGCTTGTTTCTGCAGTACTGAATCTGCTTGATACCCCTCCAGGTCAACATGGAGGTGTGTACCCCCCAGAAAGATTTGGCTATTATGATTTACTTAAACCTCCAGATGGTCCAGTTTCAAAACCCACATCGCACCTAGCGACGCTAAATGTACAGGCGGGTGCATCTGGTTGCCTCAAAGGGTCCATGCGCAGCTTGGACCCCAAGGGAGCCAGCGCATCACCCGCCTCCGTGCTCAGGTGCAAAATTGCTGGCCTGAAAGCCCAGACCGAGAGCAGGTCTTGGTCACCAGCCTTCTGGGCCTGGCTCAGGCAGAGAAGAGGGATGCTGTCAAAAGAACAGGGATGTTGCGAACGAAGCAATAGGGCCATGCTGCCGGTATTGTAGTGGATTTCTGAGGCCTCACAGAGTTTTGCTAGTTATATCTTTGGACTAGAATGTTCTAGAACCTGTGATCAGATGTGATCAGAGCCTTTCCTGGAAACGGATCAGCATTCTCCAACTCTTGATCTCAAGATCTTGGGGAGCTCTGGAACTGGGCCAGGCGAGCCAATCAACTGAACGTGAACCGAACACCACCTAGATCTTCCAACTATGTGCAATTTCTGCCAAACTTGGCCGGCAAAACTGGATTAACAGGCAGACATGTTACACAGTTGGAAGATCTAAAGCATTAAGTTAAGATCCCTAGTCTTAATTGTAACTATAGGAACTTGGGTAGAGACCAAGACCTGGATCGCCGATTCACGAGTCGATGGGATTTTGGTTCACGAGACCGTACGACCAATGGACACCAGCCCCAAAATCCTCTTTACGCGCTCACCGTGAGAACACATCCAGAGGCTCTCATCCGCCATCCGCCCAAAACGATCCCAAAAAACCGCTCACGCAACGGAGCCGGCGCGGTGCCTCGCCGAGCGCGGTCCGGTCCAGGACTTCATCCGGTTCCACGAGGGCGACCCGTCGGCGGTCTCCTTGCGCGATGTGCCGCCCGGAGCGATGAAGAAGGGTCGGTGGGGAAGACCGGTAGACCTTCCAGGAAGGAGCGGGGTGACATATCTTAAGCTGGGGTCGATCCCTTTTCTGTTTAAAATAAGTGATGTTGGGCGGAGTTTTATGGAGCTTTACTGAAGATATTTTAGAATATGAAGGATCTTTTTGGATCTGAGTTTGATTTTTTCTATGCGAAGCTAACTTGCTTTGTGCCCAATGCTTGGAGGCCGAATGACCCACCAAGCGGAAAATGCAACGGAAGACGTCCGGAGATGGCTCAACGCAGTCTTGCCTTCTCCACAAGCAAGATACTCAAAGTGCACTCCCTGATTTGCAAGACCGAACAATCGATCGAAGACTTAGCAATCAACAAGACCAAGACCACTACTTTCCCTGGTCTTCAGTTTTTTAAAGCTTTGAAGCCAAGCCAAGCTGACTCAAATGATCTCAAAAGGCTGCCTTTACGAAGGATTTTACACTACTGCCATCAGGTCAACATTTCTTTAGATGGTCTTGGATTCTTGGAAGCCTATACCAACTTAATCTAACTGTGTTTTCTCTTTTGGAGATCCGTCGCACCCAGAAGATCTTTACAACACTTCTGGGCGTCATCAAAAGCCGGATAAAGGTGGCGATGGGTTTTCGGGTTTCCTCGGGGCCCTTCCCAGGAAGCGGTGCTTGCGCGTGGCCAAGTGGATGCAGGTCAAGCCGGCGTTGGAACAAACGTGTAACCGGGAGATCAGCGCCGTTGAATAGAGAAGATCGATGTATTTCTTGTCTTAGGGCTAAAGAGGCGGTGTGAATCTAATGGAGGAGGTTGAGAGGTGCTGAGAGGATTTAGATGTACTGATTTGAGCTGTTTTACGAGCAGAGGATTTGTTGCAACATGCCTGCAGAATTGCAGATGCCATTGGTTTGAACATATTCATGTGATTTTGCAGTTTGTTTGGTGCTTTACTCTGAGGAGAGGCGTTTGTCTCCATCAAACCACTTTGGTGACCATAGACCCTTTGGGAATCTGCAATAAACACCCGTAGTGAGTAGTGTAGGACAAGCTGAAACTGACTCGGTTTGTAATTAAAAGCGGTCTTCAAAGGGACCTTGTTCGGGGACCGTGTTAATTCTCAGGAGGGTCTAGGTGCTTCATTTAGGTTTCTATTAGAATGGAGAGACCTTCCCGCCATGTGTCTGTCTATAGCCATGTTTATCTCAAATTCCACCACGTTTCCTCTTTCAGAGGGTTTTCACAAGGGTCTCCCTATATGTTGACAATACACTCATTTCATTCCACTCACCAGGAGCGCTTTGCCAAGAAGAGCTCCACCGGATCACCCCACGCGCCTTCAGTGGCCGGGGACTAAGGGAGCGATCAGAGCGAACGACAGACCTGACAGGCGGTCATACGGGGCACCAGTTGTTTTGAAGATTTTGTAAGGATTCCAAGTTGAGCTATATTGATCTTGTTATATAGATGTCTACCAGCACCCACCCGACTCTACAGGTCTTCTTTGGTAGCCTTTGGAGACTGAACAGTGGCAGATGGTGACCTGATGAAGGGTGCTTGTGTCATCCTGGATCTTCAAACGATCAACACATTCTGGTAGTTTTGGTTATTAACCTGGTTTTCCACGCCAACGGCCGCAAATCAGCACACACGTCAAAACGACCGCAAATGAGCGCAAAACGCACGCAAAAAGCCAGCAAACGACCACACAATTCCGCAAAAACATGACAAAAACAACAAAAACGACCATAACACCTAAACGACCAGATTTTTTTGTTGTTGGACGGTCCAGGATTCTTCCTCACCCTGGACAGGCAGACTGAACACGCCGAGGTAGTAGCCGTGGCCCTGGTGTACCACTATCGCCTTCCAACCCGCGAGAGGCACACCTGACCGCGCGGCAGGTGGCCTGAGAGTGTCCCAAGCACTATGACCATGATTTGTTTCATCAATGCGAGGTCCCAGCACACTAGGAACTATGTTTTTCTTTCCTCAGAGCCAGTTGATGTAGTCAAGACCCACAGAATAGGAAAGACCTGAAGCCTTCCAGTGGTTCCTCCCCCACACAACAGCTCACCTATGCTTACCTCCCTACGGTCCTCATCAGTTCCTCTCCGCCACCTACTGCTGCCGACCTACCGCACTGGTCAGGCGACACCAGCTCTGGGTGGATCTGACGCGACGGAGCTTGTGGCCGCCGGAGAGTGGCGTCATGAAGAACCGCGGCTGGGAGCCGCTGAAGAAGACCAAAGAGGCGAGGTCCTGCGGTCGCATCGATCACCGTTCGGTCGGCGTAGGTGTTGGTACGGACAAGCCAAGGAATATGGTATAGCTGGGATGTGGAGGTGCTCTTTCCATCCGAGTCATAAAAAGGTTCGAAGAAGGAAGCTATATAGCAATTGTTTCATGTTCTTAATTCCAGCTGAGCAGGGAAAAGACACTTTTGGTTTCCAACTCGCTTGACATGGCAGGAGAACGGGCTCACAGTGACGTGGCGGCAACGACTTCGGCCAGTGAAGACAACAGGGAAACCTCAACTGGAACGTCGTGAACGCCGGTCAAAGCAGAACGATACAGCAGAGGCGAAAAATAAGGGCATCCACACGGTTCAGGTGATTCAGGTGAGGGACCCAGACGGCAGATTTGTGGGTGCAACACCGTCCCGATGCCACAACGCATGCCACGCCACGCCACAAGAGTCTGCTGCTCAGTCGATGGAGAATCTGCTGCTGCGGGTACAAGCGAATGTGGCCAAAGAGTTTGAAGTCGAGAAGGATGTCGTCACCCGGCGAAATCTTGTGGTTACAGTTGGTTGCATGTTAGTTTCTTTTTGGATGCGGCTTGGATCGCAAGACTTGACAGAGGAAACAATCAAAGAAGAAATGCTTTTCAAGTTCAAGAGCTGCTTGTTTTGCAGGACCCCAAAAGATTCTAGTGATTCCAGTGGAAGCAAACCCTGTTCGCTGCCACCTCTGACTCTACGAGTTGTTGAGGAAGTTGGTCTGTATCTAGCTCAGCAGTAGCTCCTCCGCCCTTGGTGGTGGGTTTCACACTGCAGTGCTTTCCCCCAGTGTCGCATATACTCCAACCGGCCCATCGTTTTTGCTGTTGAAGAACGAGAGGGACTACCTGTTCGGTACAGCTCTACGGCACTGATGCCGCCGCGCCTGGCAGGTGATGAACGAGGCCCTCTCAGAGAATGTCTTCGTCGGATCCTGGGATGGCATTCAGAGATTGGATGCGCTCTGAACCAGGCGGAGGTGGAGCTCCCGAATGCGGATGTCTGCATGATCACCTGGGTGGTGGTTTCAGATATTCTTAACCTGCACTTGGGACGAGTAACTCCCACTAAACTACCAACCAGTCACGATCAGTCACGCCGCGTGTCACGCTTGTTTTGCGTTGGTGACCAAATCTCCCGAAGACAGTTTCATTGGAGTAGCGCGGCTGCCGTGGCTAAGGGCTCTTGTGCATCATGAACCGTATCCCTCTCTTCATCGTTGGCAAGCCAGGTGCCAAAGCACTCAAGATCTTTTGCAAGTGATTAGGATTTGGCTCGGCCTCTGCAATGGAGATTGCTACTTTGAGATGAGCCAGCATGACCCGAGATTCGATCACTGGCCCACCCAAACAGGAGAATCTGGGTTCTGGTTCTGACCGTGGCCACCAATTCAAAGTCTTTCAGCCCCCATTTCGACTCTCCATTTCGGAACATTTAGGGTTCCAAATCTTCGTACTGTTAAAGACTGTGTGTCCAACGACTCCTTCAGCGGGGCCTTCCTTCGACTCTGAGGCACCTCGAAGACCCTTTGCATGCAGGTCTTGCTGCTTGGCACATAGGGGCAGAGTCAACTGGACAACGGCATGCACCAAGCGTATGTAGGGTAGTACGGAAGGATGCTTATCAAAGCTTGCTGGGCAGTCGTGTGTCAATTATTTATTCTAGGGTCTCCCCGATTGGAAGCAGCAAATCACCTAACACTCCGGTGTCCTTCTCCGTTCATCTCCCACGTGTTTCACCAGAGCAACCGCAAACGAAAGAAAACAAGGTTCCAGCTTCGTCAAAACGACCTTCGGAGGGTTTTGGAAGTGAACCTTCGTTCGTCATGGGTCTCAAAAGACGTCTCGCGTCCGCTCTCACGAGGCCTCACCTCCTCCGCATGCGTTTTTCACTCCGAGGCTGAGCAATTTGCAGGGCAAGCAGTCCAAGTCCAAGGCACGAATCTCTAGTTCTCGGCGAGTCCAAAGGGTGGAACTGCTCAGACCGACCTCCACTCTTCCGAGGGAGCCAGTCCCACGGTCCCACGGGACAACATGGTCACTCGGAAGGGCTGTGGAGTTCCACATGTCCCATTGCAACTCGAGTACTTCGGTCAAAAGGGACGGCGGTATACGGAAGTTTTTTGAGGTCGGCCCTGGAGCAGGAATTGGACTTGTTGGCCCAATTATTGATGTGAATTTGATCTGCTAAGAAAACCCAAGTGCCTTGCAAAAAAACGTCCCTATAGAAAACACCATTATAAAATAGCAATATATATAGCAATGCAACATCAATGATGTGTGTGTGTTCTTACGGGAGGGATATTGATATGTGTTATTAGTGTCTGTTCTTTTCTGCTTTTGCTGCCTTTCTGCTTTTGCTGTTTTCCATTCCAACAGTAAAATTTAGAGGAGGAATTGGGAGGAGGAGGAGGGGAAGGTACCATGCCAAGGTAGCAGACCCTTTGTGAGCCACCCGAGGGTGATTTGAAGGTGACATGCCTGTGTGCGCAAGTGAGTTAAGTTTTTCATGGGCAGCTGTTGTTTTGGACACGGCCTCTTCATCCTGAAGCAGGCGGGGGTGCGCTACCGACATCGCTTGCGCAAGTGAGGTGATTTTGCGCGTGCAAGTACAAGTTGCGAGCTAACCCCAACGAACACCACCAAAATTGAGAGAAAAAACAACCATGACGCAAGCAGCCGCACACAGAACGATCCAAGCACGCGCCCTGGCCCCAAAATTCCTCCAGCGCCACGAAAACATCGTTTTCCAAATTCCGACCACGCTCCACTGCACCGGCCACCAATGGGAACTTTGCACTTCTTCTTTCAGTGTACTTTGCCCGCTACGACAGCTGTTTCTCTTAAGTGTCAGCCCTGCTGCCGAAATTGTGTCTTTAAAGCTGCTGTTGCTGCTGCTGCTGTTGCTGGTCGCTGCTGCCTGCTGCGGCTGCTGCCTGCTGCGGCTGCTGCTGCTGCTGCTGCTGCTGGTGCTGGTGCTGGCTGCTGCTGCTTTGCTGCTGCTGGGCACCACACTGCTGCTGCTGCTGCGGCTGCTGATGCTAAGCTCTATACCTTTCGTCCACTTCCTTCGCCACATGTAAAGTGGACGTTCCTTCAATATCGTTCAATAATATCTGTCTACAAGTATGTTTACACCCACTTGACCCCACTTCATCGAAATCTCGATGATAAGTGGACGCAAAGATTGAGATTTGACCTCAACGACTGCAGCGCGGTAGAGAAACCGCCAGATTCCGCTAGCTTTCGACCTCCTCCCCTGGCTTCAAGTATTGCATCATATTGCATCGATCATTTTGTCACACTTCCCGATGCCCAACAACCAACATGTTTCCTTCAATCAGCCCTTGTACTATACGGTCATGACACATGCCGAATAACTGGGCTACGCAGGGTATCCCCATTTATCCCACTCCTGGAAGATCATTGAGAGGCCACTTGACGGTTGATGTCGGTCCCAGAGAAACATCAACTTCTCTTCCTGGCGAGGTCTTGCAATCGCTACCTGCCCTACGCATCATGCAGTATCAGCGCTTTGGCCTGCAACAAGGACCTTGCTTCAACCTTCGCAACGACTGAGTTTCGCGAACACGGCTCAGGTGTTCGCCGCTGTCCACGGCCGATGGAATTCAGTGCCCTGACTGTTGGTCTGGAGTTGAAAGAGTGGCAGTGAAGTGAAGTGAAAATGACACATACCAGGCTCTGCTAGGAAACCTACAATGACCACAATGACCATCTAGGGAGCATATGTGACTGTTAGTGTGACTGTTGTAAAGCCAAGCCGTTCTTTTTTTGGTCTCGTTCCGTTGAGAAACTGACGCCTCATCTGGACGCCATCTGCAGGCGTCAGTTTGATGCAGCTGGACGCTTTGCATCCAATGCGCTGGATGCCCAGGCGGCTTCGCTGGAAGAACGCCACGGTCGCTCGCTGGCGGAGCCCAAAACCGTTCATCGACATGCCACATTCTTGTTTCTATGCTGGGCCACTGGTGGTGCATCACATCTAATGCCTGTCGGCATGTTTGTTCATGCAAGAAGGACTGTGGTGTTTAAATGAAAAGCTCGGTTTGTCCGATTTCAAGAGCAAGATCTTATCATTTCCAGCCATTGGGGTTTCTTGGAATTGTTCGTCCTATCCAAGCAGGAAGATCTTCATTTGGCGGTGGGTTTTGACATGTTTTGACCTTGGGATACATGACGGTTGACCTACCAATGATACGGTGGGGTTCCAGGGGAGTTGACCCATCTCCATCCGTGCTTTCTCCTTCCTCCGAACGGCGGGGTCCCCACCATGGCGTACGTCCTGCCACGGCAGCGTTTGCCCGCCCTCCGCCGCCGCAGGTGGTTCTCCTGCTGGATGAAGTGGGACTGGCAGAGTTCTCTCCGGCTCCTTGGAGATGTTGCACCCGTCCAGGAACGGAGATTTGAAGCGTCTATGAACCGGAACTGAGTATGATGGCTAGGGATGGAACCTGAATATGAACCCGAAGATTAAAGGCTACAAGCCCTGCAACTTGAACATGCATGGCTAGGCATGGCATGGGCCTATACATGTTCTTGACAAATGTTGATGTGATTTGGACTCCTGAATTCTGAAGATTTGCATGTTGTTAGTAATGCCAATCAGTCAGTCGAATCCACACAATACCAGTTGAACGTTGAAAGTTCATTTGATTCACAGCCGTGATTCATCGTGATTCAGTGTTCACCCAGCTTTTGCTGAACCTGGATCACTCAGGACATGCCTCTGAAGGTCTTACATGGCATTCTCGCTGAACCGGGCACAGTGGCTGTGGTAGGCGAGGGGAGGTTGGACTATGAAACTCCATGAATATCTAATATATCTAATATATGAAACCAGTTATGACACCCACTTGGACCCCACTGAGATTTCTCACGGAGGTACCAGTCCAAGGCTGACCACGCTTTTCAGCAGCTCACATACGTGTTGTTCAGCAGACGTCACTCCTTGGAATCGGGTCCAGTGTCCAATTCCGTCGATGAAAACTGACCAACCAAAAGGAACCACCCCAAAACGAACTGCATACCGAAGCCGGGACGGATGTTTCATGGCGGACCAACAGGCGTAATACTGCGGTGATTAGACCGCCCTCTTCGAAATTCCGGACCTCTGCCACACCCCACGGACCAACCTCGCTCGGCCTCGAGGACGGGCCTCGACCGGCGCAGGCCTCTCCAATTGGCGCTTGGACCCCGCGAAGATGAACCGCAGCGTGTGCTTGGCGCGCCCGGACCCCGACAGTGCGGAGGTCGGACGCACAGGCGGGGCCAGAGCGGCCGGACGAAGGCAACAGATTGGAGTAACGCAACAGAAAAGCTGGAAAATGCAACGAGATTCGATATGTCCAGATATGTCCAGATGATTTTTCCAGGGATTTTTCTTGTTTCCTTTTTCCTTTGACTCACTCACTGGAGGGTTGTGAGGATATTTCAGTGAGTTGAGGATAGAGGCGACGGCCTTGCAATCAGTAGCCAGCAGCCCTCTTGCAAGAAGAGTCATTCACATGTCATGTTCTGTTCTACACTCCGCCTCACTACCGCCCCTTTATCGATCTTCAGACATGGTCTTGAACACGGGGCGCAGCGTACATACTTCTTGCATGAGGTCCTGGTCGCTACTGCTCTAGTCTGCTCCTGGCCCTTGCGCAGGTGCCGGGCTTCTGAGTGAGCTCAGCGACGACAAGACGAAGAAGCGCCTTACCATGGATTTCCGGGATCAATCTGGTCTTGGGCATGGGGATTTGCACGGATTTTCCTGGTTTCAGGATATATAATGATATATACAGTAGGTTGCTGGTGATTGGAGATCCGTGTTGCTTGACTTGTAAGATCTTGTAAGGTCTTCATAGTAGTACCATCGGCTCAAATTGGGTTTCATTTCTTGTGTGCGATGTGTCATCTGAAGATGTTCCACTAGACTCGAAGCCCTACTCTTGATGGATGAAGTTTGGGATCTTTTTTGGGGGGCTTCCATTCATTTCACTAGGTGGTGGCTTCCGAGTTTCGTAGTAAATGATGTTGTAGACTGAAGGGTATGGTGGATGAAGACGACCTGTCAAGTCACACATCACCCCTGTTGTGCCTTTCAGAACTCCCCAGAATCTATCATAAGTTGATTCATGTTGATTCCAACCTCCAGAACGATGGAGAACAAGGTCTCCGTGCCGGCGTCTTTACCTGAGGGATGCGCCAGCCTGGCTTGCAAGCCTGTCTGAAGCCTTCTGGAGCGTTTTTGCAGATCAAGGTGCCTCCTGTCGGGTGTGGTGCGTGGGAAAGCAGCACGCGGGGCTGTTAAGCCAGGAACTCCCCAAACTTGGGAACGGCAGGAACTGATGGACCAGGAGCAGGAAACATGGACGCTGTTTGAACATCTAATTAAATTTGGAGCACCATTGTAGCTGCTGCATGTCAAAGTATGGCAGGTATGGACCGGTATGGAGTCAATAATAGGTTCCACCAGACAAGGTTTCCCACAGAAGCTGCAGCAGCATCAACCCGTGATTCCTACCCCCCTTCCCCCCGAAAAGCGAAGAAACGCGTGGCAATCACTGGCCCCCACAACCGCGCTGGCTTGTAGGGAGCGGCTGAGGGGAAAGAACATGAAAGAACAATCTCTTTCAATTTGTCATGGTTTGATGTGAGTTTGGTGAGGGCGACATTGGGCGACTTCCCTTCTTCTCCCCACAGTCCAGGCATTGACCTAAGAAACAAATCCCCAAGTATGAGGTGCAATGAACTTCATCGTTTTGCTCTCAATCTTTGGGGAGTGTCAACCAGATACTGTACCCCGGATATACCCGGATACTGTAACTAACCTTCATCAATCAAACATGAGAACTGCATGCACATCAGTGTGCCAAAGCTGCAACATGCTGCAACCCCCCCCAAAAAAAGTATAAAACATGCGAAGTCTTTGCAACCAACGAGAAGTGGGCAGCTACCTTGCTAACAGTTGCTAACCGAACCACCGTTGAACCACCGTTGAACCACCGTTCTCACGCATGAGGTGCCCGGGACTGGCTGGGCATGCGCGACTACTACGGCTTCGTGCGTGCCGTACGGGACGGGTGCCTGCGGGCGAAGACGGAGCAGCCCACTCATGAGCGCCTTGGGACGGATGACAAAGAGAGGTTTATATCATGGGGTCAAGTGGAAGATTCGGGGAGGAGGTTGGGACTTAAGAGAGCACCATGCTTTTGCTCCGAGAATGCGCATATGTTGCGACGTTTTTCTTGGAAACGCCTCACTCAGGTGGCAGCTCGCAAAGCTGAATCGATGTACGTACTGTATCCCTTGCGACAATGATTTGGTGCATCAATACCACTACCAAGGATCTTGTCCTTTGCGATCCAACGGAACTTCGGCGGACAGCCAGTGCTGCTGGAACGGATGATGCAAGCAATGTTGCCGGCAGGAGCCGAACATCGGTCCGGAAGGTGTGGATGCAAGGTGGTCTGATTTGTGTGACGGTCCAAACACTTGCGGTCCAAACACTCCAAAACTTCATCGGTCCGTTGATTTCTCATCAACACTTGCGAGTTTGGTGATCCCAATCAGACTGTGACGTACATGACTAAGGATGGTTGAGACCACTGTGCGATTTCGAATGGGAAGGCAAGCAAGTTTGGCGGTTCCTAAGGATCTTTTGTCCACGCATCCAAACCACCGGTGCCTGTCGCATCCAACAAAAAGGCATCCAACAAAACAACTTCCTTGGCCTCATTCGCTCCCCAACAAGACACGCGCCACTCGTGCAAGTCTCAAGTGCCACCGGTGGAGTTCGCACCTTTGGAGGAGCTGGTGAAATGGCTTATCCTCTCACCGAGCTCTTGTCCACCAGCTTGGCCGACAGGCGTGAACACGGCCACAGATCACCGCGCCGTCTTTTGTTCCGTGGTGTGTGCACACTGTGCGGCCATTGAGGCACTGTCAGAAGTGGGAACTCGAGTTAGATGGTAGGTATACCGATATTGAGAATTGAGTGTCATGATCAGTCCACGGTACAACCAATGCTGGACAGAAGACTCCGGCTCTTGAACATGTTATTGGGGTGCCATGTCAGCACTGGTGCCGCAATCGACGGTCACACTCAACGGTCACATTCAAAGGTTTGTCGCCACATGTCGCTGCCCAATCGATGTTGTTTGGGTGGCCAGCAGGAAAGCGCGACACCTTTTGCTGGCCAGTCAGGGGCCCGCTTTGCCATGGCTGCAGGCGGGCCGGGTCCGCTTTGCCTTGGCCCACTTGGGCCAAGGCAAAGGGCTTTTGCGGCCTCGGTTGCACCATGAACCACCCGGCCGTGAACAACCATGTTTGGCAAAAAGGTACTTGGCATCATGGCATCCACTGGACTCCTCTATTTGTTCCCAAAAGGACATCATTGCTTGGGCCTTCCTGCTTGTGGTCAGTTCAATTCTTCCTCCGCTCTTGGTGGGGGTAGATGCAAGAGATCATCTCCAAGAGCCCATCAAGGTCGTGGGATCGGGATGGCACCTGGATGTACATGGGTCTTCAACAATTTTCTTGTTCCTTTGACTGCATGGTCTTTGGTTGGAAAGGTTCACTTGAAATTAATGACGAACACTGACCCTTTGACACTGGCCTATACTGGCAAAGGTGACACTATAAGGGTCTACAGCACCTTGTAGGTGACACTATACGGCAGTTCCCAAAATCATTGCACAATAATGCCGATATAGGCTTTGAAGAGTGGCGGATTTCTTGGGGCTAGCGTTTCGAAGAGCTGTGAAAACAGGGCACAGGGCTTGATGCCCACCACTTTCACAAACTTCTTTCCACTCAGCCTTGGCGCTCACACAGGGCCAGTGTTGGTTGATGGGTCCTGGTGCACTGCATGTGGACCTGCAGGCTACCAATGTTGCCTCTGCAGTAGTGCATGCCTGTACCCCAACACAGAAAGACTCAAGAATCGTCAGCCCATCGTTCCTGCACAGTGAAGTGTCCATCAGATGTTTTCATGTGTTGTATGCGATGTTCACTCTGAATGGTGGTGTTCTGTCCTGGTAGTGTTCTGACGCTATGCTTATATCCAGTAGTGCTGCTTTGGCTTCAGTCACTGCCGATGCTTCCCATTTCTGGGCGTTCCTTGAAGCCCCAAGTGCTGCCCCGAGGCCCCTGTGTTGGAAAAAGGAACCGGTACACAATCGGATCCAATGAGTTCTCACTCAGCAAATTCTGACTCAGACATATACTCAAACTAAGTGTATGTGCAACTTTACTCTTGACTTCTCTTAGGATGCAGTTCTTACCCAGCCACTGGCTTGGACATGCCTACTCGGACCCCTGGAGTAAAAAGAAACGGGCAAGTGCCCACTAAACTAAACTGGAGGTCAAGCGTTACATCCAGTTCCGTTCCACGCAGTTCGATTGACGAATGCGGTTGGTGTTCCTCGGCGCAGCGCGTCGAGCGAAGCCGCCCAGGCGGCCTCGGTGTTGCCGAAGGATGCGGAGATCTTGTTGGGGAGCGATTTCCCAGAGGACGCCTTGGAGGCCACGGGTAAAAAGAAAGAACGGGATGGAATGGGAATCAGCCTTTTGTGAAGAGGATGAGGTGACAATGGGGGGACGAGAGACAAAGATGGCTTATGAAGTTCATGGATGCTGCTGTTGCTGAGGAGGAGGAGCGGGAGGAGGATGGAGGAGGAGGAGGAGAGGTTCACTGGAGTGAACGCCGGAAGGGGGGCAAAAGTTTGAGATCAAGGTGCCTCGGGTAGGTTGAGGTATGAGATAGGGTTGGTGGGTGACTTGGTTTGGAATATGTTGGGGGATGAGGAAAGAATGCATAGATGGCCAGCTCCGCTAGGCCTATGCCATTCGACAGCTCATGCGCGTGAGAGATGCCATGGCCAAGGCGGGGCTGTGGGGCTGAGGTCACGTGTCGCTCCAATCGCAAACCGGAACGTCGTGTGCTTTGGCAGCTCAAGGTGCAGACAGCTCGACTTATGGAGGGATCGATCTGGAATCTTCGGCTTTTGAACTCATTGTTTCAATGAGGACAGTTGAAAGTTTGGCTAGGACAGTCCTCAACAGCTAGACTATGCTAGACTGGTCGCAGTGTTTCCCTGTCGCGCATGTTTCACTCGGTTTCACTCTCAGTGCCAGGGAAGAAGCCTGGTGCTTTACGGAATGGATGTGATCTATGAAGCCCTGTATGATGCTTGGACCCGATCCAGCGACGGCATCTGGTCGACGTCCCCAGTCACAACTGGGGTTGTTGACCATCGGTTCTGGAAATGGTCAATGCCGTGGCCATTTGTTTCTCAAGATGATCAAGAGTGGCTGCATCAGAACATGAGAGAGGGTCATACTTGGGAGCCCTAGGACCTAGGAAATGACCAGGTCATCAATTCCAAGAATATAGGCAACCAGGCAATCCACCATTCCTTTAAGCCTTAAGCCATATTCACCAACACAGCTGGTCGACAGCCTCTTTGGAAGGACTGCTGATGGCCAATCCTCCACACTCAGCCCCCTCTTCGCTCGCTTGGCTCAGCTTACACAGTAGTGGTCCCCAAATAGATAGTGGGACAGTTTCCAATACATTTTGGAGTGGCAATCAACATGTCTATTGATTTGGGGAAACTGCCCCGCTATCTATTTGGGGGAACCTGAACCCCGGTATATCCGGAGTGTTTCCAATACATCTGGGGTTCCAATACACTGAGCGTTTCTTCACCTCCAAGGACGTGCTGAACCAGCGCTATGTGCGACGTCGGACCGAGGAGCCAGCGAGGGACGACGTCCGCCGTGGGACCGTGGGGGGAAGCGACGAAGTCAGTGCCGGCCCTGCTTTCCCATGGAGACTTCAACAGGGTGATTGTGGCTTCGTTTAGGTGATTCATGAACCGCATCCCAAGCAACCGGGGATGTTTCGCAAGCAGATCCAAATAAATGACACGACGGGATGGGTTTGTCCAAGCCAAACCTCCAATGCTTGGAGATGTTTGGATCAAGGTCACGAAGAGCGTTTCATGTTTGGAGACTCAAGTTTTTACCAATTTGCCACACTTCTTGTCATTGCTGGGCTCAAGTGTTCTTTTGGATCGTTCTGACACCATGGATTTCTCGATTTCCCTGACCTGTTCGCTCCTGTTCTCCGCGCCGTTTGGAGGACGGGGAGATCGAATTGATGCTCCGCTTGGCCATCGGCGCTCGTTCCCAGCTGTGCCCCATGGCCGAGAGCTTCAAGCTGTTGGTCTTGGTGGACCAGGCACCCTGGGACGGACATCCGTGGAACCTGTAGACTCGTAGACTCTTGATTCATAAGCTCCCCATAATTATTAAGGTTTTACACTCCAACTGGGTGGGCTTTTAGTTAATAGTCAACATTATTCTTCCTATATGAGGACAATCTATTAGCGCCGCTCGATCCATGTTTGAGCGCGCTCCACAGGCCCGTGTTAGGCGGTGGGATAGAACGCTCTGATCGTAAGGTTGTTTTCTTCAAGCATTTGATTCCGGCTTTCCCACAAATTATTTTGTTGATGTGTTGTTATATTCTACTTTTGGAAGAACAGTCCCACGCAGGAGCAAGCGTTTAAGCAATTGGATGTGCCATTCCTCAATCGCTTCGAGAAGCAGCTGGTCCAACCTGTGGATTTGCTGCCCCCCGACAGGCGCAGCAGATGGCCGTGTTGTTTGTTGTAGGACGAGCGGTGTGTGGTGGGCCAGTTGGAACCTATATATAGGTAACTGTGTTGGACTCCGCAAAGAGAACATGTGTGGAAGCAGGCAACAAAAAGCATGGTGCTGTCAAGGTCTCGGTCTGAGTTTGGAAGGGTCAGGGGGGGCCCAAACTTGAGACGCTGAGACAAAACGAGTGACATGAAAGAGAAGGAATCATGGAGCCGCCGCTATGAAAGGGCAACAAAATACTCTGACTCTAGAATTCTAGAATGCCAGCTGCCACAACATGTTCAGGGAGTTCAAGATTTTATGCTTCCTTTCGCTGTTGACCGTAGCACCTTCTCACCACCTACCAGCCCTTTCAAGTCCCTAGCAGGCGTTCAGCCCTGGCAGAGTTGGACCTCTGGTGCCGAGCGGTGGCTTTGGAGGCCGCCTGCGAGGTGGTGCCCGGTGGCCTGGCGAAGCAGGGCGCCCTGGCGGCGCTCATGTTGGCCAGGCCGACGGCCTCCCTGGAGGCGGGAAGCCCCGCGCCGGCTTGAGACGCGGAATGGGAGACGCGGGAGACACGGAGCTGACGTGACCGGGAGGGGTGGATGGTGTGGATTTGGAGAGATTTGTGATCATTTGTGGATGTTTTTCTGATGTTGGGGATGGATGGTGTGGCAGCTGTTCCGGCGAGGAGCTGCAGCGTTGCATCTTCGACATGGCGCTGCCCTTGGCCGTCTTTCGCTCCAGCAGCCTGCAGCAGATGCAGCGTAAGGAAGAGGAATACTTCGAGGCAGCGCAGAAAAATACACAACCCCTTGGCCACAAGGAGATGAAGACTTCTTGACCCAATCCTCATGATCTCATCCAAGTGGAGTGAATGAACACTAACACCATCTAACACCATAAGGCAAATGATGTTCCTGAGTAGCCAGGTCTTCTGTAATCGAATTGCTTTCCCTACTTCTTATAGTGTAGTGGAGCACCGTGTCCAACACCGTGTCCGACATCGGATGTCTTGTGATGATCGTTTTCTAACATGCCCATGCTTTCCCTATTCCAGTCGTGCCTTCTTAGAAGATGTGGCGAGCAGGAGGGTAGTATTAGAGGGTCCAATAGATGTCCAGTCATACCCGAGGCAGCGGAGGTACTTGCAGCTGGTACCCATGGACCTCAACTGCTTTGTCTCATGGGACCCGCGTGGCACCGTCGATCTCGATGTCGCGTCCGAACGAGAGCGTCCAATGGTGGGGTCCACGGGGTGAGCACCAACCCCGAAAGAAGAAGGGAGGTCTCCCATCCGAAAGTCAATGAATTTCCTACCTTGCAACGACCGTGTGCTTTTCCAAATCCTGTCCGCTCCCTGCTCTTGCCCTGGTTCCAGGTGCGCCGCAGCATGGCCGACGCCCTGCGCTACGCGCAGACGCTCGGCACGCTGTGCGAGGTGGCGACGAGCTCGCCGATGGCTCACATGCCACCGGTGCGAGAGCTGGCAGACGTGGGAGGCGTGGCGATGTCCTGCAGTGGTGGTAGAATTAACGACACGCTTGGAGGAACAGACCTGCAGTGGACTGTACGAGCTGGTAGTGGTAGAGGTGCTGAGTCAAGTCTTGCGCTTGGACAGAACGTCATGGAAGTTGGGTGGCTCAGTGTTCGTTTGGAAGAGTAGATGAGGGTGGATTAGAGGTCAGAGGAGTTGGATATGGTTTTGGCTCCGGATACTCTACATGGCTAGAGTCAAGTCTCCAGCGCTAAGATGCCAATGCATAAAATTACAATATTCAATGCCAATGCATAAAATCATTTGAGCATTGTGAGATAGCTCAAAACAGTGTTCACGTAAAACCCTTGTGCAAACCTACTAGGGGAATGGCACAAATAGAACAGCTGCAGCATCTGTGACAAAGCAATCGAATCAGAGCCAAATCGGCTTCAATTGTGGATTGTACAGTTCCTCAGCTGGCCCAGGCATCAATTCCCAATTATATATTATATATATAGATCCAATAGTTCAATGCCCATGTTGAGGCAATTTTGATGGTTTCATGGTTCCCTCAACGTTGCTTGAACAAAACAGTTTGAGGACTTGGGTGTTTTAGAAGTACTGGGGCTTCAATTCAGGCTTCTCACTCTCACTGCTTTCACACTGCCTCGCGAGGCACGGAGATCATCCCGGTGGCGCAGCTGAGCGGCTCGCAGCAACTGGAGGACGATGTGGACTGTGAGAGATCGGTGGATTCATTTGGATTGGTTTGGGGCTTTTGATTTGTTTTAGTCTGCTTGTTCACATCCACTTGTAGGCTGGATGGGGGTCAAACATCTTCAAACGCAGTTTTACTGTAAATGTTTATTGCTGAATCCTGAGAAACCATATACACTCCCTGATCTACTGGGTACCGGCGCTAAGCCGTCTGGTCTTGTAGTACGTCGTCTGGAAGACGCGTGGCCTTGTAGGATCTGTGTCTCGATATACTTCATTGGACATTGTTATGTTATTCTGCAACTGCAACATGTAGATGAAACCTTTTTTTTCCAAAAGCATCTCTGATGCTTGGGTTCTGGGTGTTTTTTCCGATCAGAGAAAGAGGACAAGCTGACGCTGCGATTTTAACATGAATTCTTAACCTTAACTTCTGCCTACATTTCCATATGCTGCATATTTGAGTCAGTTAAGCCTCATATTTAAGTTTCCTGAAGGACAAATGACCGTGGTGATTGAACACTCAAACAAGAAGAAATCAGCACCAAAACGATCGCTGGGACGAACCCAGCGGCTGGGCAAGAACATGTGCACTTTTGAGTTTGGGCGGGAGGTACATAGTGGCCATGGTGTTTTACCTTTCTGAGTGTCGACGGTGACTTTCCACTGTCCCATGCGGCCGGGGGACCCCATCTGCGATTTTGGGTGAAACCAGAGCACCCGCGGCACTTGTATGTTTCAGGTGGGTTGAAACCCAGAGCGTGTGAGTCACTTGGTCCTGTTTGGTAGTTCAGACTTGGGTGACGTCAAAACACCCATCAAAACCACTGCAAGATCCCCTTGGTGGCCCATGTAACTCATACACTGCTCTCAAAACAGCGTCACAGAGTCGGGGAAGCGGTACCTGGTGCAAACCTCCCTATGCCCTAGGTGGACGAACCTCTTCCACCCGGGGACGAAGCCGGAAGGTTTTTCCGGAGAGCTCTTTTTTCAACGACGATTTGAAGCCGGCGCTCAAAAAACGAGTCCTGACTTCTCACCTTGGCGCCTCAAACTCCTCATCCTGCGGTGCGAGGACTTCGGTCGCCACGGGTGGTCCTTTCTCCGATCGGCGGGACTGCAGAGCGTCACCCACACGCGGCGCCAGGATATCTTGGAGAAGTTTTTTCTGGAAGCGGAAGCGGACGCCACGAAGACCAGGATCCGGGAGCCACGAAGAAAGGCAAAGGACTTCTGTATAATTAGTCTTCAGAGCATTTGGCAAGCCTTAAGATGCCTTAAGAAACAATGCAGAAAATCTCTGAAGATCCTCGTTTCTTACATTTGAGGCTGCCTGTATCTCTCAGCATTGCCCTCGCAGCAATAATATTTTAATCATCAAACAAGGCCGACTACAGGGTTGACGTGGTTTGATCTCCAGGAGCCTCGTGTTGCAATTGGACGCTCTCAGCAGTGTATCCAGGTGGGTCAAAGCAGTGCATCCATACACTGTCGAGGTCATGCATTTCAGCTTGATCGTGCCAGCGATCTTAAAGGAGAACGTTGTCCTAAAGCACCCTTTATTTTCGTTAGAGAGTGTATGATTGAGCATTTGCGGGAGTGAAGATGACCCAACATGGCCGTGCTGCCGCCATGATTTGCAAGCTAATAGACAATTTCTGCAGCGCTGTGATTTGTGAAGCGCGACCATCCTTTTCTGCTTGAATGGATCATGATGGATCAGTTTGTGATGATCTAGATTGGAATTAGAGGACGCTTTGTTATGTAATGTCCATGCACAGACTTTTGCGAAGCTTCGCTCACCTTAATTGCTGTTTGGCTGTCGAAGCTCCGCTTCGAGCCATCAACAGTTGGCAGGTTGTCGTTGACCAGACATTGCTGTACAGTGGCTCGCGCCAGGCACTGTCATCTGGTATAGTCGACACATGTGTCCGCACAAAAAGATCACTTCAATACCGGCACCGAAACACATCCCATGTGCACCACGGGACTCATGGCAGGCTTCCCAACAAGCGCAAATCCGTGTCGGAAACTCATTCCCTAGACACGACCCATGAAACTGGCATTTTGACCGATCTACCTTGGGGTGGTTGTTTCATTGGTCAGTCAGGGCACATAATATGTGTCTTTTTTCCGGTCAAGGACGCATGTGCAACATAGGCACGACCCATGAGGCTGGCATGCCTGGGGTGGCGGACGCAGTGACGCAGTAGTGTAGTATGGAGTCCAGCGCCGTATCGTCGCTGTTGGTTCCTCCTAGCTCTCTTGAAGGAACCCTGCAGAAAGGCCTCGCATCGGTTGTCGGTTGTTGGTGAAGAAAAGTCTTTCAGGCACCAAGCTGCACCCAATGCGCACGTCTTCCTGGTGCAGCATCGCGCTGGTTGGAGTCCGGAGCACGGCTACTTGGCCTTTTCTGGTTGAGTGGGAGATGTTGAGGAACATCAGTCAAGATGAGACAGCAAAGAGGGTGTAGCCCAGCAAACCAGCTTCTGAGTTGGTCAAAGAGTATGGCTTTTTGTTGAGAAAGGCCTGCAACCTAACCATCATCATGCTGTAGCCCATTGACCAGTATAGCAGTCGGCAGTCGGTAAATGATTATATATCACTATATCTTTGAGACAGGCCTCTACTAACTAATCACCATTATCCACTGAAACCAGGTAATATGTCCAAAGTCACGACGACGACTATAATATGATAGGTTCCAGTCATCAAGGGCTTCACACGTGCTGGCATTGCGTTGCTTCGGTTGGCATGTTCTGACTCCCGGGGTGTTTTCTCCGTCTTGTGGCGCTTGAGGGTTGGGCGTCTCGAAGCAGCAGAACGTACCGTACCACAAAGCATGACATCGAGTTGTATTTGTCTAAAGTTACCAAAGATGTTTTGAGTAAGATCTATTATCATCGAAGATTCCTTTTTTTCCGAAAAACAAACCAAGATGTCTTTCAAAGTGTCTCCCTACATTTCAGGTGCGACAGGATACACCTGGCAGCCGGAGCTGGGATGGAATTCCATCTTTGTGGATGACTTGCAAGGCGAAGGTGGACCGACCCTATTGTTGCGAAAGGGTCGCACATGGTGTGGGCGGATCAGGTGAAAGTCTTTTGCGGATCTGGTGGCGTGGATCAGGTGATGTGTTTGTTTTTGTTCATGGGTGAATCCTCATTCTGGGGAATGTGTTGTTAGGCTTTTAGTCCGGTACCCCAAGCAAATCCAGGCGAACTAACCATCAAGATATAAGGACCTTTCCTGAAAACACCTCGGAATGAATGAACACTTGGATGGTCGTGGTTGCAGGTGTGTGAATGACGGTTTGACAGACCAAAGCGGCTGATATGGTGTCACCACCACAGTAAAAGGTTTTTTTTTTTTTTTCCACAGTGAACTAGCTCCACCAGGAGTCCTTATTTAACATGTTTTCAACAAGATCTTTCCTTTCTTAAATGTAGTGCAAGTGAAGTTTTTGGTGAAAAAGACTGAAGTGCCGATCAGTCATACGCCCGTTCGAACAGTCTCGTCCACTTCGTCCGCATCAAGGCCGGGAGACTGGAGAAGGTTCTGCCTTGGTGGGACAGTCATTGAAGGCTCGGGGGTCGAGCAGGGCGGCCGCACCAAGTGGCCCAAGTGAACGCAGTTGTGGGCATTGGGCCACGTGTCGACAAGACTACTGGCTGTAGTAGATATGTAAGACCTTGGTCAGTTTTACCGGATTGTGGCGATTTCTGGTGCAATTTAATCCTCAAGGTGATTTGCTTAGGAGGGTTCATGGTTCCTTGGCGGGAGCTGGGCCGTTCGATCGGCGCCGAAGCCTTCCGCCTCGGTCTTGCTTGGGTTGGACACCTCGTGAAGGAGGAAGAGGTCATTGGTGCCTGCCGCAAGGCTAGAGCTGAGCTGGAGGGGGAACGTTTTCAGTTCCTGGCTTTGAATCAGACACTGCACCAGTGTCAGAGCGACTTGGAGATTCATAGATCGCAGAGCCTGCTCTTTTTCATCGTTTTTGGCCTGGTTTGCTTTTGTTGCGGATTGCTTGGAGGTTTCGTGTTGTGGCACCATCCCAAGAGTCAGAACAAAAGGGCTAGGAAGCCTGTCAGAACGGTGAAGGGTGAGCCTGTGTTTTTCCCAAGCCTGAAGAAAGCCGTCGCTGCACTACCCATTGAGAGCGATGGGAAGCCTGGATCCAGCTCGACAGCCAGTGAAGTGGTTAGGGCAAGAGCGCGCGCTAGTGCGCTTCAAGGATGACCCCACCCTGCTTCATTGCCGCATAGTTCTTTGCTGCGATGGCGGAAACCTGGTCAAGGTAGTGACGCCTGATCGGGACATCAATGAAACTCGGCTGGAAGTGTGGGACACCTACAGTGAGGTGATTCGGCTCGATGGTGGAAGGCTGCCTGGAGGGATCCGAAAGAACCAGACATACCTGCCAGAACACAGTCCTGATGGGGAGTTCACACCCGAGGAACTTCTTGGTTTGACCCGTAGGGCCATGGATGAGGGCTTCACGTCAAGGCCTAATCGAAGGGTCCATGGGAAACTGGTTGGAGGTGTTCGAGTTCCCCCC